AACACCTAATTTCCTTACTGTGTCATTGGAATTTTAACAGCTAAGAAGCAAAGTCTTGTCTTTTATTGAGATCAGCAAAGGCACAAATCATTAAAATGACCATTGCTATATTACGAGCAGTAGCCTACGTAAATGGGGAAGGAAGAATAAAGGATAATCTAAAAGCAACAATACACATACTATATCATGATTTACAAGTCTTCTACATAAATTCAGGCACAGCTAAGAGAGACAAAGAGAGAGGGGAGGGGAGAGAGAAAGGAGGGACAGAGGGTAAGAAAAGAGTAAGATAAATATTTAAGCAAGCAATAAAATGCTTACGATATCAACAAAATATTCAATAAGGAAGCCATGTACATAGTCAAACACAATTCATTTGAACATAACATAAAGGTAGAGGAAAGAGCGGGAGGGAGAGAAAGAGGAGGAAGATAAAATTTTAAGCAATAATGAAACACTTAGTGAACAAAATTAAATGACAAAGTCTTGTATACTCAGACACAATTCACTAAAAGAAGTTAAAACCTAAAGGTACAGGAAAGAGACAGAGAAAGGAGGAGGAGGAGACAAAGAGGAGGAGGAATAAGATGAAATTTTAAGCAACTAATAAAATGCTTATGATGTCAACAAAAATTAAATGACATAATCAGACTCAATTCACTTGAAAAGAGATTAAAACCTATACTGAAGTAGGGGAAGAGACAGAGAAAGTAGAGAGGAGAGAGAAAGGAAGAGGTGATGAGAAAAAAGAAGCAGAAGAGGAAGAGAAGGGGGATGAATTTTTTCTGCATGCAACTAATAAAATGCTTACCACATCAAAATAAAATCAATAAGCAAGTCTTGTAACGACACAATTCATTTTGAACATAGAGGAAAAGAGAAAGTGAGAGTACTTTTATATTGATTATTAGCATGCCATTTCATGATAGTTTTATAAACAGCTTTTGGTTTCTACTAGCCACAATGCATAAAATTTTACTATCTCAGTGTTAGTGTGTGTGTGTGTAGCAATAAAATAACCTTAAAATGAGTGTTTTAGATTCTTTAAACATCTAAGTAATTAAACAAGGAGCTCTTTAAAACAGGATAAACTTCTTGTCTAGTCCTTATCATAGATATTAGGTTACATAGTATCTAATGTCCATATCAGCATAGATATTAGAGTAAAGGATATCTATGATATCAGCCATCTTAATTAGACACGCCTCTAGGCTGGCCTGGCTAGCTAGGCTCACGTGACATGAAAATCGATCAAAAAATCAATC